GCACCCAGGTACATAAAGCAAGTTCTTAATGACTTACAAAGAGACTTAGACTCCCACACAATAATAATGGGAGACTTTAACACTCCACTGTCAATATTAGACAGATCAATGAGACAGAAAATCAACAAGGATATCTAGTACTTGAACTCAGACCTGGACCAAGCAAACCTAAGAGAGATTAACAGAATTCTTCACCCCAAATTCACAGAATATACATATTTCTCAGCACTAGATCACACCTACTCTAAAATTGACAACATAATTGGAAGTAAATCACTCCTCAGGAAATGCAAAAGAACGGAAATCAAAACAGTCTGTCAGACCACAGTGCAATCAAATTAGGACTTAGAATTCAGAAATTAACTCAGAACAGCACAGCTTCATGGAAACTGAACAACTGGCTCTTGAATGCTGACTGGATAAACAATGAAATGAAGGCAGAAATAAAGATGTTCTTTAAAACCGAAGAGAAAAAGACACAACATACCAGACTCTCTGGGAGACATTTAATGCAGTGTCTAGAGGAAAATATACAGTAATAAATGCCCACATGAGAAACAAGTTACGATCTAAAATTGACACCCTGTAATCAAAATTGAAAGAGCTAGAGGAACAAGATCGAAAAAACTCAAAAACTAGCAGAAGACAAGAAATAACTAAGATCAGAGCAGAACTGAAGGAGATAGAAAAACAAAAAACCCTTCAAAAAATTAAATCCAGGAGCTGGTTTTTTGAAAAGATCAACAAAATAGACCACTCACCAGATTAATAAAAACAAAAGAAAGAATAATCAAATAAATGCAATAAAAATGATAAAGGGATATCACCACAGATTCCACAGAAATACAAACCACCGTCAGAGTTAACGACAAACAATTCAATGCACATAAATCAGTAAACCTTGAAGAAAGAGAAAAATTCCTGGACACTTACATACTCCCACGACAAAACCAGGAAGAAGTCGAAACCAATAAAAAGGGCTGAAGTTGATGCACCAATTAATAGCACACCAACCAAAAACGCCCAGTTCCAGATGGGTTCACAGCCGAATTCTACCAGATATACAAAGAGGAGCTGATACCACTCCTTCTGAAACTATTCCAAACAATCCAAAAAGAGGGAATCCACCCCAATTCATTTTATGAGACAAACATCATCCTGATACCAAAATCCAGTAGAGACTCAACAAGAAAAGAAAACTTCAGGCCAGTATCCATGATGAACACAGATGCAAAAATATTCAATAAAATAATGGCAAACAGATAGCAACAGCACATCAAAAAGCTTATCCACCATGATCAAGTAGGATCCAACCCAGGGATGCAAGGCTGGTTCAACATACACAAGTCTATAAATGTAATTCCCCACATAAACAGAACCAAAGACAAAAACCACATGATTATCTCAATAGAAGTACAGAAGGCCTTTGACAAAATTCAACAGCCCTTTATGCTAAAAACTCAATAAACTAGGCATTGATGGAACGTATCTCAAAATAATAAAAGCTATTTACGACAAACCGACAGCAAACCTCATACTGAATGAGCAAAAACTGGTGCCCTTTGAAATCTGGCACCAGACAAGGATCCCATCTCTCACCTCTCCTATTCAGTATAGTATTGGAAGTTCTAGCCAGAGCAATCAGGCAAGAAAAAGACATAATGGCCATTCAATTAAGAAAGAAGCAAGTCAAAGTGTCTCTATTTACAGATGAAGTGATTGTATATTTAGAAGACCATATCATCTCAGCCCAAAATTTCCTGTAACTGATAAGTAACTTCAGCAAAGTCTCCAGATACAAAATCAACGTGCAAAAATCACAAGCGTTCCTATACACAAACAACTGACTAAAGAGTCCCAAATCAAGAACGAACTGCCATTCACAATTGCTACAAAGAGAATAAAATACCTAGGAACACATTTAATAAAGGATGTAAAGGACATCTTCAAGGAGAACTACAAACCACTTCTCAACCAAATAAGAGAGGACGTAAACGGATGGAGAAATATTCTATGCTCATGTCTATGAAGAATTGATATAGTGAAAATGACCATACTGCCTAAAGTAATTTATAGATTCAAAGCTATCCTTGTCAAGCTAACAATGACCTTCTTTACAGACCTGGAAAAAACCACCTTAAACTTCACATGGAACCGAAACTGTACCCACATAGCCATGTCAATTCTAAGCAAAAAGAACAAAGCCAGAGGCATCATGCTACCTGACTTCAAACCATACTACAAGGCTACTGTAATCAAAACAGGATGGTACTGGCACCAAAACAGAGATATGGAACAATGGAACAGAACAGAGGCCTCGGACGCAACACCACACATCTACAACCATCTGATATTTGACAAACCTGACAAAAACAGGCAATGGGGAAATGATTCCCTGTTTAATAAATGGTGTTGGGGAAACTGGCTAGCCATGTGCAGGAAGCAGAAACTGGACCCCTTCCTGATACCTTACACCAAAATGAACTCCAGATGGATTAAAGACTTAAACATATAACTTAACACCATAATAACCTTATAAGAAAACCTAGGCAAAACCACTCAGGACATCAGCATAGGCAGGTACTTCATGCCTAAACCACCAAACGCATTGGCAACAAAAGCCAAAATATACAAATGGGACCTAATCAAACTCCACAGCTTCTGCACAGCAAAAGAAACAATCATTAGAGTGAACTGGTAACCAATAGAATGAGAAAAAATTTTTGCTGTTTACCCATTTGACAAAGGGCTAATACCCGGAATCTACAAAGAACTAAAACAGATTTACAAGGAAAAAACAAACACACTCATCCAAAAGTGGGTAAAGGATATGAACAAACACTTTTCAAAAGAAGAAATATATGAGGCCAACAAACATATGAAAAAATGCTCATCATCACTGGTCATTAGAGAAATGCAAATGAAAAATACATTGAGATACCATCTCATGCCCATTAATGTATCCATCATTAAAAAATCTGGAGACAACACTTGCTGGAGAGGATGTGGAGAAATAGGAACACTTTTACACTATTGGTGGGAGTGTAAGTTAGTTCAACCATTGTGGAAGACAGTGTGGTGAAAACTCAAGGACCTAGAAATAGAAATTCCATTTGACCCAGCAATCTCATTACTGGGTATATATCCAAAGGATTATAAATCGTTCTGTTAGAGGGACATATGCACACGAATGTTCATTGCAGCACAGTTTACAATAGCAAAGACTTCAAACCAACCCAAGTGCCCATCGATGATAGACTGGATAGGGAAAATGTGGCACATATATACCTTGGAATACTACGCAGCCATAAAAAATGATGAGTTAGTGTCCTTTATAGGGAAATGTATGAACCTGGAAACCATCATTCTCAGCAAACTGACACAAGAACAGAAAATCAAACACCCCATGTTCTCACGCATAGGTGGGTGTTGAACAATGAGAACACATGGATGCAGGGAAGGAGCATCACACACTGAGGTCTGTTGTGGGGGACTCATGGAGGGACAGTGTGGGGTAGGGAGTTGGGGAGTGATAACATGGGGAGAAATGCTAGATATAGTTGATGGGAATGGAGGCAGCAAACCAGATTGCCATGTACAGCTAGAGCTCGACTTACAACCAAGGTTGGGACCGCGGACCGGTCGTAACACGATTTGGTCGTAAATTGAGTAGGCTATATGTACAGTTGAAATGGTGCATGTGGAGATGGTAGTGCTGCCAGAAGCTGGTCCGCACTGTCATACACCCAGCTGGGCAACGTTTGTGCTGCCAGATGTGGAGCAGTCGTGGCTAGCAATTGTGGTTGTAAAGTCGAATAGTCATAAGTTGCATAGGTGGTAAGTCGATCAATACCTTGTACCTATGCAACAATCCTGCATGTTCTTTACATGTACCCCAGAACCTAAAATACAATAAAATATGTATATATGTATATATATATATATATGTATGTGTATATATATATATATGTGTGTGCATGTGTGTATATATATGTGTGTATAGATATATATGTGTGTGTGTGTATATATATATATATATATATATATATAAATCATTTTTACCTTTTGTTGGTACATAGCAGTTATATATGTATTTATCGACTATGTGAGATATTTTGAATTAGTCATATAATGGATAATAATTACTCTTGGAAAATGGGGTAGGTATCCATCCCCTTAAGCATTTATCCTTTGTGTTATAAACAATCCACCCTTTTGATATTGCCCATTTCCCTTTTCATCTGCCTTGCTGGCTTTTCTTTTTTGTTCATCTCTTATACATTTGTATTTTAGAAGGACCTGGTTTACTTCTCTCTCTTTTCTCTACTTACCCTCTCAGTGTGACTCCATCTACACCTGACGCTTCAACCATTTTCCATAAACAGATGATGCTCAAATATGCCTCATCTGCTCACCCTTTTCACTTAGGCTAGAGGACAGTCTATTTACTACTACAGGAAGACTGGCCATTTCAGATAACTGAAACTCAACATAACTAAAATTGATCTTATTTTTCTTTCAAGCTCTTGAAACCTGATCCACTACTTCAATTCTTGTCCAATCCCAGTGACCCAGTTTATTTTGGGTCAAAATAAACTCAGTTGCTAAAGCCTCATTTCAAAGTTTTCTCAGTCATTACATCTAAGCAATGCCAAGTCATATTGAAACTACCTACTAATGATTTCTTACATTGTTGCATCTCTCTCCATCCCCATGGTTACAGTCGTAGTTCAGGCTACAATCATTTCTCACATGAACTACTACCAAAGCCTTTTGACTAGTCACTAAATCTACAATTTTGACGCATTTCAAACCCTTCTCTCACCTGCAACCCAAGTACAAATTTTAAATGCAAATCTAAATTCTAAAGGTATAAAGCTGTTTCTGGCACACAGCACTTATGGAAAAACACATTAGAGCTGAAGCTCAGATGTTAGGATTGAACTATTAAGGATATCTACATAATTTGTTGATGTCAGTTTCTTTTTAATACTGCACAGGTTAAAACTAGATGCAAAGGTACATTTAAAAGACTTAAAATTTTACTGGATGGAACATGATGGAGGCTCATTTTTAATGTCCAAAGTGGATCAAGATCTCATTTTGGCTCAGAAAAAGGTAATTTTAAATAAAATTTGTTTAATAGAATTATTTTTATTCTGAGGCGCCATTCTGAACTCTTTGCTTCACTTTATGCCAAATATTTCTGCATCAGCTTACAAAATTAAGATTATCAGAACAATTATACTAAGCAATCTTGGTGTGATTTTTCATGGTTATTTTAGATATTTTATGTTTTTAGTAATGATACTTGTATTTTGTATATAAAGTATGATATATCAAATAAATTGCTCAGAGGTAATTTAAAAGTTTGGTCTATCTATCTATCTATCTATCTATCTATCTATCTCCAGTGGTTCTATGCCAATGTGTAGATGTAAATTTTAGGTAGTTACGATAGTATCATATATGTAATCATTTTAGCCTGAGTTTTCTTTCAAATACTTTTATAATCAGATGAAATAATAGAACAAATTTGTCTTTTTAAAAGCAAAGGCTTATTTGGGAAAGAAGAATAATAATGAGAATGGTCCTATCAAATTTTGAAAGTAATTTTTAAACTAATAATTTAATAATAATACAGATCATCACTTGGAAACAATGTAATTGTATATATCAGTGCTCAAGAGAATCAGTGTAGTAACTCACAGTAAGAGTTAGGAAAGTATCTTAGTGAAAGTCAAGTAACCTCCAAGTTAGAATCATCCAAACAGATGGAAAATCACTAGTAGAAAATTGGTTTTTCATACTTGTGAATTATGAAACATGTGTAAAAACTAGATGAAGCTTGATTGCTGTAAAAGATGGGTTTTGGCCAAGTGCTGTGGCTCACATCTGTAATCCCAGCATTTTGGGAGGCTGAGGCAGGTGGATCATGAGGTCCAGAGATCAAGACCATCCTGTCTAACAAGGTAAAACCCAATCTCTATTGAAAATACAAAAAATTAGCCAGGCATCGTGGCACGTGTCTGTAATACCAGCTACTATCGAGGCTGAGGCAGGAGAATCGCTTGAACTCGGGAGGTAGAGTTTGCAGTAAGCCAAGATTGTGCCACTGTACTCCAGCCTGGGTGACAGTTGACAGAGTGAGACCCCGTCTCCAAAAAAGAAAAAAAAAAAAAAACACATGGCTTTTATATTCTTTGTTTTGTGCCACTATGAAAAAATGTCTGTGACTCCACAACTTATAAAGAACAAAAATTTACTTCCCACATATCCGGAGGCAGGAAAGCTCAAGATCAAGGTGCTAGCAGGTTCAGTGTGTGGTGAGGGCCAACTTGCTGCATTCTCCAGAGTGGAGAAACATGGCAGAAGGTTGGGAGAGACATCTGCTAAGGCTGCATGAAGCCTTTTAAAAAGTGGCTGTAATAGCTTTAATTAGGGGCAAGCCTCATGGCCTAATCACCTCTTAAAGGCCCCATCTCTTAATACTAATGCATTGGCAACACCTGAATCTTCGAGTTGATGCATTCAAGCCATAGCATATGTAGATACATCATTGTGTTGCTAGAGTTGAAGATCATGCTATAAAATTATGCATTATTTTTGAATCTATAGGGAAAATGTAATTCATAGTGGATTATAAAATTTCTTTTAGTAATGTTTAATGATGAAAAGAGAAAAGTAAGATCTTCATAGTAAGCTCTAAACCTAGAAACAGACTTTCTTCCTAAATTAGCTTTGTTTTCTTGTTTTTAATTTTTATTTTACTTTACATTCTGTGGTACATGTGCAGATCTTGCAGGATTGTTTCATAGGTATACACACGCCATGGTGATTTGCTGCCTCCAACCCCCCGTCACCTACATTAGGTATTTCTCCTAATGTTATCCCTCCCCATCCTCCCCACTTCCTGCTATCCCTCTACTAATCCCCCACCCTCCAACAGACCCCAATATGTGCTTTTCCCCTCCCTGTGTCCATGTGTTCTCATTGTTCAATATCCACTTATGGGTGAGAACATATGGTGTTTGGTGTTCTGTTCTTGTGTCAGTTTGCTGAGAATGATGGTTTCCAGATTCATCCATGTACCTGCAAAGGACATGAACTCATCATTTTTATGGCTGCATACTATTCCATGGTGTATATTTGGCACATTTTCTTTAACCAGCCTATCATTTATGGGCATTTGGGTTGGTTCCAAGTCTTTGCTATTGTAAACAGTGCCGTAATGAACATACATGTGCATGCAGAGATGGCTGTTGACTATATTAACGTTTTGCATGTATTATGACAGCTTCACAAATCTGAATGAATAATGTCTAAAAGGAAGTAATTATAGAAAATATTGTCAACAAATCATAGAGGGTTATTAACCTTGTATAGGCTATAACCCATTGTAAGAGAAATACCATCATGGACATAGGAAAATGAGAAAGATAAATTATAAAAGAATATATATATAAGTGAATAATAAAAATGTAAGAAGTGTTAAGACTTACAAATAACTATAGAAAAATTGAGATACTATTCCCTGTTTGCCTGGGTTGATAAATCATAGAATGCCAGTGGCAAAGCAAATTGGTACTTTTCTGGGGAGTTGGAGTATAAATACAAAATTGTGAAGCCAGGAGTAGGAGAACAAAGGGAAAAAAATGAATCTAAGTAAATTATTCACACTGAATTCTTAGCCCATATAAGTTACTCTCACAGCAGATTTACCTCTTCCTGTTCAGTAACTTAAGCAAAAATTTTAATAACTTAATGTATAGACACTTAACCTTCATTACCAAATTATCTAGCCCATTTAATATTATGACCCAAAGCCCTTCTCTTCATGATATTAAAACCATATTTTTGCTGTACTGAAATTCATGTGTATGAAGAACCAATTGTTCCAAGTGGTTTTTTAGTGGAAAAAAAAAACCAAACCACTATACAAGGGTCTCACTGTTACTGAAACTTTCTTTGCAGTGTCAGATGTGACAATGTTGCAGACCTCATCATCTGCCTGCATCAGCTAGCAGGTAGAGCTATCGTGGAATAGTTTAGTTTGAAATAGCAGTTTAAAATAGTCACATGCTATAAAAGGGACAGAATGAAATACATGTGAATTAACTTAGGAGTTTCATTTCATACTGAATAATTTTAGAACAGGCTCTAGTGAAGATTGATGTATGGAATACAAGGCTCTATAACGCTGTCATATGCTTTACCAGTTGGGTCAATAAGAGAAATTTTATAACCTCAACATTTTTCAAGAAAGCAGTTTATAAAATTCAGATGCATATTTCTAATTAAAAATTTAGTTTTGCCATATTATGTTCTTTTTTATTGTATGTACATAAAATCCAGGGGCAATTTCTTTAAAATATAAAATAAGATGAGCGTGCTATCACCATTATTATTCATAGAAAGTATCTCAAAGAAAAATTAGAAATGAGGTGTGGCAAGAAAGACAAATCTATAATTATTTATAGATTAATATATGAGTATATTCTTGTAAAACTCAAGGAGTGCTATTTAAAAACTCTTAGAATGAATGAGTTCAACCTAAAATAAGACGCATAATGAATATAAAAAGAACATAACGAACATATCTATCAGAAATAACCAGTTAAAAAGTAGAATGGGGAAAACAGAGAAGACAAAAAGAAAATCCTATTAAATTCCTACAGACTCTAAAATTAAGAATGTAGGACCTACCACAGAAAAATTACAAAACTTTAGTAAGAGTCCTAAGATGAGCTCTGAATAAAAAGAGAAACTTAATTTTATAGCTTGGGTTGTTTGTGGATAGATCACATAGCTTATATAATCAATGTCACTGGGTTTACAATTATCATCCTATATTACAAAGTATCTAGGCACACTACAAAATTTCATCACAGTGGTAAAGGTATTTCTGAAACACAAACAGCCCTGCTGTTCTGTAATTTGTCATTGCATGAATTAGTTTATGTCTCTTTCTTTCTGTATATTTCCTGAAAAGTAGGAAGTGGAGGAACATGAGAATGAATGGTGTGTGTATCTGAGGAGGAAGGAGATAAATAGAAAAACAAAAGTCTTATATCGTTCAGGGTGGGGTAAGGATGTGTGATACCTCCACCATGCCTAAGCTATTGTCCAAAAAATACCATGTTTTAGAACAGGAAGGCCATATTTTACAGCAACTTAAAGCAAATTAGCAATTTTTATTATGGAAGTTGAGAAAATGGTGTTAATCTCCTGCCAAGTTTATAGCCAAGAAAAAGTGAAAACTTTTGATTTAAGAGAATCAAAATGTTAAGGATTTACTATTCCAGAATTTTAATATGGTATAATTTATCTAAATATTTCTCTAAAGTTATTACATGTATATAGCAATTTGTACTTTATCCACTTCCAGGTTCAATATAAAGAGTGAGCTTTTTTGATTTTCTAGCAGAAAGCGAATGGGTGCTAACTGATGTAGGTCTGCAATTCTTTCTAAGTCAGAAGAAAAAAAAGGAGTTCGGGCATCAAACGTTGTTGAGGATATTGTATGATCCAGGTCTTTTTATCATTTCTATATTTCCTAGCAACAACTTACTTTTACCCATTTTGTAGGAAAAGATGCCGAGGTTTTGTGTGCTGTTGGATTTAATTTTTATTCATAGATTTCATTCTTTAGAACAGTAATAGATTTACCAAAAGATTGAGCAGATAGTAGAGTGTCCATGGATACCCCCTCTTTCTTGCACTACTAGGGTACATGTTTTATGACTGATGAACCAATATTGACGTATTATTAACTTAAGTCCATAGTTTAGTGTTCATATTTTGCAGTTCTACAGCATTTGACACATGCATAATCGTATGTAACTATCATTACAATATCATACAGAATAGCTTTTACCACTCTAAAAACTTCCGTGCATCACTTATTTCTACATTCTCCCCACTCCTACTGGAAACCAGAGACTTTTTTACTATTTGTATACTTTTGACTTTTTTCTAATATCGTATATCTAGAATCAAAATTATGTAGCCTTGTTATACTTGCTTCTTTCACATCGAAATAAGCATTTAAGTTTCTTCCATATCATTTTGTGGCGTGGTAACTCATTTCTTTTTATCTCTGAATAATATTTTATGGT